CTTTTATTATTGCTGTAGTCTGGGTTGGCGGAGTGATGACTTCTAATCTCAATTTTTCAAAGTCTTTTATCAAATGTTCCTGCACCGTGTGTACAACAGCTAACTGGGATCCCATCTTCCTACTTAAGGCATTTGCGACTTCGTTGGCCTTTCCTAGATGGTAATAAATTGTACGGTCATAATTAGTTCCTTCTACGTGAAGAAATATTTAAGGCTCTTGTGGTCTGTATAGATTTTACACTTCCCACCATAGAGATAATGACGCCATATCTTTAGGGCGTGAACTACCGCTACAAGTTCCATATCATGTGTTGAATAATTCTGTTCATACTGCTTCAACTGTCTAGAGGCATAAGCAACTACCTTTCCATGTTGCATCAAAACACAGCCTAAACCCTGCTGGAGGCGTCAGTATAAATCATAAATCCATCGGAGCCATCTGGTATTGTCAAAACAGGAGCTGAAGTTAATCTTTGCTTGAGTTCTTGAAAATATCTTTCACATTTTTCCGTCCACTAAAAACATTATGTTGTCCAACAAAATGTTTTCTGCAAAAATAAAGTAGAATGATAATGCTTAAAACAATATTATGTATGTTGAACTTGTATCTAAAGTACACTTGTAGACCTCAAGGTAACCTTCATTCGTCTAAATTCCTTTTCTTATGTTAGAAGTTTTCCTTTGAATGTTTAAAGTGATTTTTTACTTTTTTTATTTATGGAAGACACCACCACAGTCTCAATGAGTTTTAGCTCCACGAGAATGGTTGATGGGGTATGCCCCAACCGTATATAGAATCAAACTCATGGAGGTGGCTCCTACGGTTTCTAGAGGTGGCTCTTACGGGTTCAAGAGGTGGTTCTCACCCTATGTCGTAGCACTTTGTCCCGTATAATACTTAGTTCCCGATTTTCGGCTGGCAACTGGGCTATGATACCATTTGTAACGACCCAGGTCTCACTTAACGGGCTGTCCCGGCCGTTAGATCAATGACGTACTGTCCCCACTGTATCAACATGGGTCTTTTCAGCATGCTTTATATTGGACATTCATGTTCTAATGTTACGTGTAATAAATATTGGACATTCATGTTCTAATGTTACATGTAATAAAATGTTACGATCACGATCAAATGAAAGAATGTTTCTAATCCGTCTAAGAATGATCTGAATCGACCATGATCCTCCACCCTTAGTGATATGGTGAACGGCATTGAATGAGTCAGTTTTCACCCATATTAAGATAATATAAGTCTCCGAGCGAGTAAAATTCCATCCAGAATAGCTTTGAAAAATATTTCTCATGTCGGATTCTCGATTTGAACATCTAAACTGGAGTTTTTAAAAAAACTTTGTACTTGTGAACTGTAAAATTGAAATAGTTGGAAATCTTTGGCTTCACTTGAAAAAAGTAAACTTACAAATTCATTATTCAGTAGCAAACACCTTATTTTCAATTTGAGTTCCCCCTTCAGTCTGCACTCTGGAGACTTCTTCCTTATCTCTGAAGCGCACTTTAAAAGTCTGGACTGTGAAGAAGGACACTTGAAGTTTCCTCCTCCTGTTAAAGCTCAAGTCTGGATTTTGTCGTGGACGTGTGGTCTTATGATTAGGATTACTGAAGTCCTTATTCTTTAGTTATAGTTCAATTCCTGATTCCCCTTTGGACAATGAACATTTGCTTGAGAAGTCTGAAGTCCTTTTAACCTTCAATTTCACTTAAATTTCCATGTTACTTAAGATTTTTCTTTTAGCGTTTATTTGAATATTTCCAAAGTCCTGGTACACTTGTTTCCGAAAAGTCATTATATGTTTGTTATCATCAAAGCGTAGGATAGATCTAAGGCAATCCGTCCTAATCCTCTCAACAAAACTTATAAATCCTAACTATTAATAATTTATCTAGAAACTCTTGGCATTGGTTTTATATGCAATAATGAAATTTATCATTTTTGTTTTTAACCGTGTCTGTTGACCACTATAGGTAGTAGTATTGAGCTGGTACATGATATTTATTCTGTTTGCTTGTTATGTCTGCTGAACTTTGCATCTCACTTCTACTTTTGCCTGCACTGACAAAGTGAAACAATTGTAAGTGACATATTTCTGATACATGTTGCAGCTTGAAATTCCTGCACAATTTCATTGTCTTCTTCATATAGCAATGTGCTCAGCCCTCTGCAATGAGTCTGTTATTCAGTACAACCCAGAAAAAAGGATTTATGAAAAGATTGGCGAGTCTACTGAAGTAGCGCTTCGGGTATTAGCTGAAAAGGTTTGGCTCTAGCTTAATATAATTGAAATTGGCATATTGTCTCTCCTTTAGTTTAGTATTTATATTCATCATAGTCTAATTTTGCAAGTCAATGTTTTGTTTTAAACTTTTGTACCCTCAGATTGGTCTTCCTGGTTTTGATTCTATGCCTTCGGCTCTTAATATGCTAAGCAAGCATGAAAGGGCGTCCTACTGTAACCGTTATTGGGAAGACCAATTCAAAAAGGTTTGCTCTGAGCAATAGTTACTATTTAATGTATGTATTCTTACGTAGGATTAAATGGTGCACATGTGCCAATCATATATTTTTTTTAATGAGTCTATACACTGCATATTCTGCAACTTACCAGAAGATAAATCATAAATGATAATTGCTTGCACTCTCTCAAGTGCATTAGTGATACATAGATGTTACAAATGATGAATCAATTTCGTTTTTATATCCTTATCCTTGTGTTGGTTTTATGCTATTAGTAAGTACCCCCTCGTTGCAAAAAAGTCAATTACTGAGTATGCTAAATGTGTAATTTCTTTTCTTTTACTCTTCTAAATTGAACTTGTTGAATACCGAAATTTGTTTTTTGAATAAAAAACAATGTAGAGATTGTCATGTTTATCTCATCTGGAATAAAATGTTCAAGAATTCTACTACCTTGGGAACATCAACGAGAGAACACTAATAAGATATGGTTATATGCTATTGTTTACTAAGGTTCATAGATAGTTTCTGTCAAGGTTAATCTTAGTCACACAACGCCACTGTGAAGGTGGAGATCCGTCACCAAAACTGCTAATTTATACATCTTTCTGATTTTTTTGAATTTAAGGATGCCATGTGGGGAATTAAACTGCACATCTGAATGCCATAACTTAAATGAAACTTCCACGCCTTTGAAAGCTCAACACCCATTTCAATTGAGAGGATATGAGTCCTAGGTTCATGTAGAGGCCTTTCTGTACCGGACTTCTCTATTATGCCCTATGTCTGAAGGCCACGACTTAAAATAAACTTACACGCCTTTGAAAGCTCAAGTCCCATTTCAATTAAGAGGATCTGAGGCCTTGGTTCATGTAGTGGCCTTTCCTTACTGGACTTATCAATTATTTTATGTTTGAAGAAATCTCTTATAGAGCATTTAGCTCCTCCGCCTGTTCTTAATAAACTTATTGTCCATTGCTTGATTGTCTTCAAAAGGCTTTTGCTTTCAGTAAAGTGTCTTCATTTAATGGGGTATTGAAGCTTTTGTGCATTTAAAATATAAGTTTGTGCCTGAAAAACTAATGCTTCCAGGTCTCACTGTTGGAGTTTTCTCGTGATCGCAAAATGATGAGTGTCCTTTGTAACCGGAAGCAGATAGATATTATGTTCTCAAAAGGTGCTCCCGAGAGTATTCTTCCTAGATGCACGAGTGTTCTATGCAATGATGATGGTTTGACCGTTCCACTTACGCCAAATATTAGAGCTGCATTGGAATCAAAATTCCACAGGTTAGGAATATTTTCTTGAAAGTTTTAATGGCCTTTTTTCTACTTGTACACATCAATACAGACACACACACACACAAATTATCAACGTGAATTTGTTGTATGTGAGGACTAACATGATCTCTTCCTGCTAATGACTCAATGTAAATCCCATAGTTGTCAAACTCAACCCGGACAATGCAGTGGGTCAATAAGTTAGTGATTCAACTGATGACCGGCGGTCAATTCCTGTCAAATATATTATTAATTATTATCATTGAACAATAAAATTTTACCATTTTCTACCAATAACTAAATTAACCTCATATTATTTTGTTAACTAAAGATCAATATGTATCCCAAATTCTAAATCACATGTAGTCAAATATGCATTTGAAACAATAAAAACAATAATTAATGATAAAAAAAACTACTTTATCTAACAAAGTTCAACAAGATAGCTTCATATGCTATAAGAATATGCTTGCAAAAATAAGACCATCATTTAAGTCATTTATGGAAAAAGAACATGTTAACAAAGTAAATTATTTGAGATAAGTCAATATTTTCTTAATTAAGAAGAGTTTGAGCGCATCCATGCTGGGGTTTCGGACATGAATTCTTCAATTCCTTCGCTTTGTACAAATGTCATACTAAAATCCTCGTTTTCTTTGTTTGGATCACTTCTGTTTTCATTGTCATTGCTAACGTCATCACAATCAAGATCATGATTATCAAAATGTAATTCATCTGGAAAAAAGGTTTAAAATTCAACGTTACATCATATGTACTTTAACATAAAGAAGAAAAAATAGCACCAATCGAACAATTGCCGTCATTTTCGTCATTTTCTGTAGTACATGCACCCAAATCTCTCGCAGCCTAAAGAACTACATGTTTGACTTAATACTCGAATTGCACATGTTTGTAGGTTTGGTGGACTACTACCGTAACACATTCACCATTCATCCGTATAAAAACAAAAAGAAAATAAAATAGATATATATTATATAAACTTAAATCTGAGTTATATAATATAACAAATTCTTAGAAACATCTGATGTTTGTTACTTTTTTCACATAAGCAAGAGTTTGTCCGTGAACTATCAAGGATATTTTCAATTTAGGGCTCAATATCAATCTCAGCTGACAGCAGTGTATCTAAGAATTTTCTAAGAATTCATTAATGAATAATCAAACTAAACTCAGAAAAGATAATTAATTTCAAGTTAATAGTTTGTTGTTGTTCCAGTTTGATCTCCATATAATCAAACTCAGCAATACATCTAAGAATTAATGCCATAATTGGATTAATGTCATCAAACTCAACAAGCATAATGAATCAATGAAAGCTCAAACTACACCCAGCAATACATCTAATTAATATTCATAATTGAATAGAAATTGGAACTACAAACTGTCTCAGTGACCATTTTAAAATTAACCCCATAAAAGCCTATCTCATTATACTCAAAGAATTAAAAACAAGATATTTGGCCACTGGGACCTCGCCTTTAAGTCGGTCAATCCAATTACATTCTTGATTCTTTTTCCAATATTCTCAATCAACTAAACAGGGCAATAATTTTCTTATTATAGTCGATTTGAACGATAATAAGAGTTAGCAGAAGAAGAAAACATATATGTATGATTTAAAAAATTAGCTTAAGTATAAAATCAAGTTGGTCGAGTTTTTTTTTAGCAAAATACATTTGACAGAGACTGACATGTTCTTCCATCTCTTAAAACTTGAAATTGGAGATTTGAATTTGTGGGAGTGGTTGAATTGCAATAGATTGGAGACGGCAGCTGAGCTTTTTGATTTTGCAAGAATCCCTAATTACGAATTGTGTTTCGGAATTTGTGAGGACACTGGGGTGGGGAAAGTGGAAATACAGAGAAACATAGGTTAATTAAGACGCGGTCGGTTCAAGGAAAAGTGGAATGCGGGTTTCATTAAAACCCGGTGGTTCAAACAGGTGGATGGTGGGTTGTTTGTTCAGCCGTAAAGTCATTAAACTCAGTCTGGACCTTGGTCCAATTCAGCTGTTTCCGAACCGAATCGAACCGAACCGGCTGGTCCAGTCTGAGTTTTATAACTATGGTAAATCCTTTCAAAATTTATTTGTATTAAATAAACAGTACGGAATGAATTTGTAATATTGGAAATCTATTACCCACTACTAATGAGAAGACATTACTTTCTAGATTAAGTCTGTTCTTCACATGTCACCATAAATGGGTATGTAATGAGCGCTGCTTCCAGAACCTTTGCCAGATGATGCAAGTCATTAATCAATGCCTATTTCTATTAGCATTCTTGTAAATACTCCAATCTTATAAAATTTAATTACTAAATGCAGTTGTAACATGTAATGGCTCATGAAAATTGGGTTTTATTGTTTGAACAATAAAGCAAAGTATAATTTGACCACAATGAGCTTAAGAAGAATGACTGACTTGTTGACATGAACTTTGATGGTCTCAAATTGAATGTCTTGATTCGACTTATCATAATTACTCAGGCCGAAGTTGAAAATGTATTCCTAAAGTATATAATTGGATCCTATATTGTTATAGTTCTTATCGTGATATAAAAGCTTCTATTATGAAAACTAACACATTTATCTAGAGCAGTCTAAAATAGGAAAAATGACATTCAATTTGAAGCTGCAGTACTTGTGATTGGATAGTAATTTTCACTTGTGAATAGCATACTGCCTTTGGATCCCACCTTCCCAACCATTCTTTGGTTGAACTTACTCCCTTTTTTTTTAGTTGCAGTTTTCTAGTTAGGAATTTGTATTGAACATGAAGGGTGGACTATGTTTGGTCTTATGGGAGATACTTGTTGTTTATCATCAGTTTTGCAGGGAAAGAAACTTTAAGATGCCTGGCACTAGCATTGAAAAGGATGCCCACAGGACGACAGGCTCTTTCCCTTGACGATGAGAATGACCTTACATTTATTGGGTTGGTATGCTTTCTCTTCTATGTTACAAACTTTTCAAGTTTGCTGTTGAGAAAATTCTAATCATCATGATTTGTGCATCAAGTCTTCCATGTTTCTTTGTTCTTGTATTTTCCTTTGACTTCAAATGTGGCAGTTTCTACTTACTATTGAAAGCAAACTTCTTCCTCATTGAAACTCTCCAGAAAGTGAGAATGCAAAATAAAATTTATCTGGCCATGACCAAATGTATGAAATAGTTTAGAATGCTAAACTGGCTAGCAGCTGGTGCATAATTTTTTTAAAAAGTAGCTGTTGAGAATATACTTCTGAAATTCCCATGTCTTAAGTTTGGAGAGCTTATTAAGCATCACTGCTTCAAGTTTTACCTATTCACCTTAGGGAATTAATGAAATTCTTTGTTGGTTATGCATGCACATAAGCCATGTGATTTGATAATATGTTTCTAGAAAATTCTTGGATTCCGCTGAATAGAAATCGGCCAAATAATAGGCATCATATTCTCAAGATCTTTAGCATCCTTATTTATTCCAAACCACTAGAATTTGATAACTATTGAACTTCATCAAAGATGCAAGGCAAAAAGTTATCCAAAAATAGCAAATAATTCCTCTAGAAATTCTCTAGTAATCAATCATAAGGTAAGCAAATAATCATACTATTCTTGAAATTTAATGAACAATATGATATAAATCATAAAATAACACTACATACCTAGTGCGAAGAAACATACAAATTCGGTCCCATAAATCCATAATATGGCTCCCGGGTTAGGACAGTGCAAGACCAAATGTGAGTACCTTCCAAGCCATGATGCAAAAATCGAGCGACAAGGTATAAAGAGGTCTACGTATATGCAAGATATCTTGTGTTAATCCCATCAAGTATGAAAGACTCCCTGAAAGCCCGTCAATTATTCAACTTTGATGCTTGACGATTTACATGCCGTTTTTTTCCTTTTTACTACTGTCTTGATGTTTCTCATATGAAGGTTGGAATGCTTGATCCCCCAAGGGAGGAAGTGAGAAATGCCATTATTTCTTGCATGACAGCCGGTATACGCGTTATAGTTGTTACTGGAGACAACAAGGTAATAGTGAAGTACAAATATGTTCTCTGTTACTTTGATAATTTTATATCACATTTTCTCTCTTATCCAAATTTGTGATATACCTTTAGATCACTGCTGAATCATTGTGCCGAAAAATTGGTGCCTTTGATCACTTGGATGACTTTGTGGGACTTTCTTACACTGCTTCTGAGTTTGAAGAACTTTCAGCAATGCAGAAGACACTGGCATTGCAACGAATGACACTTTTCACCAGGTACTACGTTGTTCTATTGGTCATTTCTTTTTTTTGTTATTCCTTTGTTCTGTATGAGTTAATTATTGCATCTGTATCCTTTGACCCTACAGATTCCAATTGTTGTAAGTATTTCCTTTTCTATTAATATTATATTGTAGTTTATATTTGTGTTTTTATGTTCTGTAAGGGTTGAGCCATCACACAAAAGGATCCTTGTTGAAGCACTACAGCACCAAAGTGAAGTGGTAACTCTTTTGTGTTTTCAGAATTGCAATTGAAAAGGATGTCCCTATTTTTCTTGGTCCTTTTTTTGAGATTGTTAGACAATAGTATTTACTGTCAACCTGATGTGTTTGGTAGATTAGTCTACCTCCATGAGGAAATCCCACTCCAGAGAAAAGCAAAATCTTCTGTCAACCATTTCTTCTATGACCAAACGGGTTACCGCATTTTTATTCATCCTTTCTATTTTTCCCAGATCCACAGATCATAGATAAAATTGGTAACCAAAACCATTTTCATAGTTATCTGACAAAGCAAAGCTGAGGTTAGTTGGTTTCCTTGTCTTGGCACCAACCTGTGTCAATTAGGGGTACACCTTAGGGCACTTATTTAAGCTTCTTATTCACACATCAGTCCAAAAGCTTCAATGCTCTTGCATAACTATTGTACAGTTCAATTCCTCGCGCTTGATAAATGTACTTTATTTTGCTTTGTCTATATTACTTCTGTTTTTCCAAGCTTATGAAAAGCCCAATTTACATTTTAAGGTTGCAATGACTGGAGATGGAGTTAATGACGCACCTGCATTGAAGAAGGCAGACATTGGAATTGCCATGGGTACAGGAACTGCAGTTGCAAAGGTATATACATAGGGATCAATTTATTGCCACATGTGTTTAGAAAGGGGGAAAAGTGTTCTGAGATAGTTGATAACATGGTAAATTTGAGATTCTCGCATTTCATTGCTTACCAGGAAGGATTGTTCTTTCTTTGAGTTGATTCTCTCTTCCTCTCATCCCTCCCTTCCTTATCCTGTTGGATACATGTACACTTCTTTTTCAATTTTGTGCATCACGTTTTCTGTTTTTGGGTGGATGGTGGGGTTTTGAAGTTCCAAATTTGATTGAATAAAAGAGAGACTTGCTCCCCCAATTTAGGAAGTTGTGAATTGTTGGTTGTTTGCTTAGACAGAATTATCATCCTTTCTTCTCTACCACAGGGTTCAACATGTTTTTATTTGGATATTTTATTTTTTTATGGGAGGACTTCTCATACTCCACATGTAATTTGTATAAATACTTTTTAGACTTCGAAAGTCTGATTTGACGAGGTTAACAAATTGGGTTCCTGACTGAATATCTTAGATTTACTACTCTTACCATCCCGCAGGTCATCTGTCACGGTTGATCATCCCTTATCTAAACATTTATACTGCCCATGTTTCAGCTTCATTTGTAGTGTTAGGAAGAACTGGAACTTCTGTGCTTGCCAATAACATCAATCTGGAATCTTATAGAAGTATTGTCTACACTATTTCTCTTCAATGGTTTGCTTCTTACTATGCCCATGTTTCTAACATGAGTTTGTTTCAATCACTTGTCACGCAGCATTGTAGTGGAAGAGTCATATTTCCAATTTGATTTCAGTATATACACATGTATATTGAATTGCTCTTTTTTTTTCCTATGTCTGAGCTTTCAGAGTGCTGCAGATATGGTTTTGGCAGACGACAATTTTGCCACAATCGTTGCAGTAAGACTTGAGCAATTATTCTTAGTTTCATGGTTTTCATTTGCTTGATGACACATTATATTCTGCATTTGGATTTTCTCTACTGTTGCTTTTGTCCCCCATCAGGCTGTTGCAGAGGGAAGGGCTATATACAATAATACAAAGCAGTTCATCAGATACATGATCTCTTCAAATATTGGTGAAGTAGTTTGCATTTTTGTGGCCGCACTACTTGGTATCCCAGACACTCTTGTGCCTGTAAGTTAACTATTTGCAACAATTAGTCCTCTTTTGTTGTCAACAATTTTCTTTTTCCTTTTCTAATTTGACAATCTTTTCTTGTTGGAAACTGGTTGCTTTCATCTTTATGTCTACGGAACCTGAATGAGCATGGGGGTTCACTGCTGTAAAATATGCGACTTTTTATGTACTCTAGAAATAAATCTTTTATGCATTTTTACATCTTTGTACCTTCAGGTGTCAAGTATTTATCAAATTTAAAAATCAATTCCCTGCCCGTACTTGTCTAATGATATCCAGTTCTCTTACAGGTCCAGTTGCTTTGGGTAAATTTGGTCACTGATGGTTTGCCTGCCACTGCTATTGGATTTAATAAACAAGACTCTGATGTCATGAAGGCTAAACCTCGCAAGGTACCGTGGAACTAATTTTATTTAATTATGTATATATTTTTAACTTTTGACATTTTTATCATTTCCGTGTTGATAAGAACATAAATATCCTACCATTTTTCTCGTAATTTACTATTTTGTTATTGTGTTGGTTTTTGCAACGTAATTGATGCTAAAACAGCTGTCCTAATTTATGTATAACTAGTGCTTTCACCTTGCGGATTACAAGAAGCATTAGTTGATGAGTAATGTCTTATTTATGGATTCTCAGTCTGGAATGATGCATATTGCTTATTATATTATTCTGGTCCTAGGGTTTGTAGAACAGAAATGTATGGAATACATGATGACTTATTTCAGATAAGAGAACATACTGGGATTATCTCAGATTATTTTATAATCAAATCTAAGCTGCTAAATAAAGATGATATAACGGTTAAAAGAACAATTATTCTCTCCTTATTTTTCTCATAATCTATTAATCTTTTGTTATGGGAGAATGAGTAGCTATTGCCGTAATGTTGCATGTGTAAAGTTTTCTGGATTTCATGTAACTAAAAGTGAGTACAAGGACAAACTAAGCTTTGTTCCTAATAATTTAGAGACATCCACAACACAGTTCGGTTCATTGCTTGATGTACTGAAAAATCCAAAGTAACTAGATCCCTGCCGACAGCAGATGTTAGTTTTGGTCTATTTTTTCTAACGTGCTCTATTGGGATAGCTTCAATCTTATAAACATGAGCCTCTTCAAATCTATGCAAAATATGTTCCAACTAGCGAATTCATTTTTTCCTTATCTATCCTCAATTGTTGCCACCTTCACTTAATTGGCGTATATTCTCTTATCTTAGTATGACCAACATCCATCATAATGTCCTCATTTTCCCTACGTTTATATTATGGACATTTTTTTCTTTTACAGCCCAACTCAATACTATATAGTATAGCATGTCTAGTTACTGTTGTGCATAAGCATAGATTATGCTTAACTCGCCTTTAACCACATCTCTTCAACCTAAATTCCTAAAACAATCACTTTTGGGAACAACTGGAAAAAATGATATGAGGCAATTTCTTCATCCGATTATATGTAAAATTATATTCACTTGCTTCCTTGTTACTGCACTGGCTGGGTGTGCATATGATCACAATTTCTCCATTACTCATTTGCTGTCATTAATTTCAAGTTCCTTAAGGTTCTGGAAATTTGATTTACTTTTCCTTGAATTGCTTTAACCAGTTATTGATCTTTGTTTGCTTTTTGTTCAATAGCCAAAAAATTGTGTTCTTGTTGTCTAGTTTGTTGTTGAGTACAATTGTTTCTTGAGATATTTATTGCATTAAAATAATTGTCTCGTTACTTCTAACCCTGTCTGAGCGGCAGGTTAATGAAGCAGTTGTCAGTGGTTGGCTGTTCTTTCGTTATTTAGTTATTGGAGGTACTAACAGATTCGTTTAACAATTGTTTACTCCCGTATATTGACCTTGGTCCTAAATTGTTCTGTTGTTGCCCATTTTATAAATCGTGAGGTCTTTCACAATACACGTCAGCTTGAGGAAAAGCATGAAATGATTACAATTTTTCAGAAATTGTGGGTCTTTATCAGGCTGAATTGTCTTAATATGAAAGCATTTGGGTTGTGAAGTTGAGTGATTAAGCATAAATCAATTAATGCAAACTTCTTCGGTTAAACAATCTACAGTTTTGTTTCATTTTCATGGTGGAGCCTAAAAAACACAGAGGGCTGTGATGGTGCTTTATTAAAAAAAAAAAAAAGGGAAAGAATTGCTTAATTTTCTGGTCATACTAAAATTTTGATCACTCTAAAGATGAATTCAAAGTCATTGGAAAAGCTGATACAGATTGTAGGAAATAGGAGAGCAGTGTAGAATGGATGAAGTCCGACTGATGTTTAGCTTAAATTCATTTCAGTGTTGGATCATCCCTCGTGTCTTAAACTTGATGCCATGCTTCATTGTAGTATACACAAGGGCTTACAGGATCATCATAAAGTTTTTGTCCAAAGAAAATATTGGTTGTTGATATTGAAATTACCAACTATTGAAACAGTAGAAGCGTGTTTTCCTTTTTGTACGTCAACTCATTATAGGTGCAATTTTGGTTTACGCAGTTTATGTTGGGATTGCTACTGTTGCGGGATTCGTGTGGTGGTTTGTTTACTACGACAATGGTCCTAAACTGCCTTATGCGGAATTGGTAAGTGCTATGCCAATTTTGAAGATGTGAAAAAGTTCCTCCCCTCCATGCTCACAGTAAAATTTGACAAAATTCTCTTATGGAGAACTTTTCTCTTCTTCCATTTTTATATCCAACTGCATGTATTTAATTTATTGAGATGGTTTTCCTTGAGGGCTTTTAGGTGGAGTTGGAGTTCTCTAATCCTGAATCAACAGATTTAATAGGCAACTTCTTCAATTGGAGAATTTGCTAATGTGTCCATAAGAGAACTAGCAAACTGTGCCATTATACTTTTGGACTGTGATAACTTACTATGTCTGATCTATGGACTATGCTTTTTCCTTCTGTATCTGATAAGATGTCAGATTATTTAGAGTAGAATGGAGAACAGAAAATTATTTTCCTTTTCAGGTTTTAGGATTTGTGTTGAGGTTTAGATTCTGCAATTCAATTGTTCTTAAGCTAATTACTTGGAAATAGAGGTCTGTCAGTTCATCGTAAAAATTGTTGTCTTTTGTTGATAGGCTTCTTTAGTTTGTGAACAACCCTTTCCATTAAGTGGAAATATAGTGGACACTGCCCTTGATCTTCACTCACTGATCGCTAATGTTTTTTAATCTAATAATTTCAGATGAATTTTGACAGTTGTACAACAAGGGAAACAAATTACCCATGCTCAGTGTTTAGTGATCGGCATCCATCCACTGTTGCAATGACGGTACTTGTTGTGGTTGAGATGTTCAATGCATTAAACAACCTCAGTGAGAATCAGTCCCTCTTGTGAGTGCTCAGTCTTATCTGAAACTTGATTGCTTGTTGAGCTTTTTCCCATTGCCCAAGAACATTCTATAGTTTTGAATGCACTTGTGCATTATTTAACATAATAACATTAATTTGTATGACTTTCACATTTTCTTCGCTTTGCATAATACCTAGTCAATTGAAGCTGGCTATTTGCAACAGGTTGTAACTTGACACACCATTTTACCTTTTATCCCGACTTCTGACTGATATCTCCTCTCTTTTTAGTTTCATAATTATGTTCAGAAATAATAGGTTAATACCATTTCTCTCCCTTGCATCTGGAGTTGAAAAGAAAGAGAAAAACAAATAATTTACAAAGAGGCTCACCTTTTTTGGTAAATTTTTAGTGTCATTCCTCCTTGGAGTAATTTATGGCTCGTTGGTTCAATTGTCCTGACAATGCTCCTTCACGCGCTCATTCTGTATGTGCAACCATTATCTGTTCTTTTCTCTGTAAGTTGATTTTCTCTCTTGCAATTTCATCTTGATATTATTCGAGTGGTCTGGATAGCACCATCTTTTGTTTTGAATGTTGAATAATCTCTTGTTTATGTTTTGTAGGTGACCCCGTTAAGTTGGACTGAATGGACTGTTGTATTTTATCTTTCATTTCCTGTAAGTGCGTGATTATTATATAGCTTCTAATTTTTTGTTATCTGCTAGTGAATGACAGCCAATATTTGATCATCAATAACCTGTTCATTCTGTACACATTCCGTCAACCAAAGCAAAAACTTCTGCGTTCATATGATTTTCAGTACATATGGTAAATCTATACGATATTTTCTATTCATCTCGAGTTCAGACTTAATATGGAAGATTAGAGTTAATTCAAAGTGCTTGCAACAATTATGGATAAACCAAGCTCCTGTGCACCAAGTTAATCAGAAACTACAATTTAAAAGAACTCTATCAAGAAAAAAAAGATTCAAGTTGTGGATGAGCAGAATGAGAGATACACTGATGGTATCTTTTGATGCTTATGCACGCTAATTTCGCGAAGAGCGAAAGAGTTTCTAATATTTACTTTTGACTTTGGATTTGAAGGGTTTACATGTAACATTAGTGTCTCCATGTATTTACATTTATTTGAATTTAGGAGTATAGAGTGCCAAGTAAAATGCACCAGAAAACCCACCTAGTTACTATGATGCTTGGACTCTTCGAAATAGTTGAAGTACCCGTATCGGATATGACACGACATGGGTATGAGTATGGAATATGTGTCGGATCCTCTAAGTTTCAACCGGACACTTCGTTGTTTTTGCTTCTTCTTCCTTCTTTTTCTTCTTCCTTCTTTTTTTTTTTTCCCACTTTTGCTCTCTCTAAGCCTAGCGTCGTCACCGAGAGGGTAAAGAAAGACGGCGACGCTANTTTCATATAGTACTACTTAGTACTCCACTAAGTCCAAATTACAATCTAGTTCCTCGTTTTCTATTTTATATAAAATTTAGTAATTCTCATTATTGAAGATTAAACCCCAAAATTCTATTTTATTTGTTTTAATCCTTTATTAAATGCTCATTTTCATTGTGAATAATTAATTTTGCTCTATTCAAAATGACATCTTGGATTAGTGTAAAAATTGAAGTTTGAAAGACGTATCCACATACCTGTGTCCAAAATTTGGACTCTTTTTAGTCATGTCCCCATATTCTACATTTTAAAAAATAAAAGATCCGACACTTAGATACATACCCGTATCCGATACCTGTTCCCACGTCCGAGCATCATAGCCTAGATAGTCCTTCTATGGAGAGCTCAAATGCATGATATTCAAATCTCCTCTTCCCCTTATATATCCCACATGTGGGCATGCCCCCGTAAGCAGTTTTGTATCCGTCTAACTCCTTGGAATCAAACTGCTCTGCATGTACTCATAAGACTCTGTCAATTTAATGCAGGTAATTATAATTGATGAGATACTGAAGTTCTTCTCGAGAAATTCTAGTGGTAATTCTTGTACTCTACAACCATTATATATTTGTGGAGTTATATTTTCCGGTTTACATCTTTGGTGTTTCTGATTGGTGGAAGTTATTCTCCCCTCCCTACTGATTGATTTCTTTCAACCCCTCACCCGAACAATTTCAGGCATGAGACTCAATTACAGATTCAGGAGAGTGGATCTTCTACCAAAAAGAGAAGTGCGCGACAAGTAATAAGAAGTCCTTCAGTTCTCGAAGGAAGGAGCTGAATCCCCGTTCAATGAGGAAATGCAACATCAAATTCCGTATACAAGTTACAGTAGTCAGTTCATCATTCTGGGTGCAACAGATATTGGTCCATATGCTCTTCAGTTCAAATTCTGATCTACCAAAAATTTTGAGTCTGGCCTTTGTTGTAAAATGTAGATTATTTATCCCATTCATAGTTTTTCTAACTAACTGGAGTTACTTTCTTGCTGCTGAAATTTGTCTTTTTTGTTATGAACAACGATTGTACTGAACTCATTCAACAGCAACACTTCAGAATTTTTACTGCTGCAACAATAAAATTTAAGATTTTTTCTTAATAAATTGGAACCAGCTACATGAAATATTTATCACCACTATCTGGAATTTTTATTGCACTTTTATTCACTTTTGGGCCTATTTCTCTGTAGGTTTGTTGTGCACCAACTCTTATTATGCAGCCTGATGGAGCAACCTAACTTTTAGCTTGTGTGAAGTAGATTGGTGAATAAGAGTGTTTGAAATCTATTTTTATTGAAAAATGTATTTTGAAATAGTAAATTGATAAAGAATGTGTGGTTAGAAAATAAGGAAAATTTTTGAATTTGCGTGTAATATTATTTTATTGAAGAATGTGGAATTGAAAATAATAGAGAGAAAAATGTATAATTTCTAACTTGAATGCTGATGTGATGGAAGTAGGAGATTTCATATTATCCTGTATCATTTAAATCAAGATGCAGAAGTCGAGAGTTGGATTTCAAGCTTGACCCTATCTTTAGACTAGTTGCCTTGTTTGACTGAACTTCTTGGCTCTGTGCTCTATTTGGTTAGGACCATGTACAAGAACCTTTTCACATAGATTTCTTGTTGGAAGAAAATGGGTCGTACAAGTGGGCTGATTCGACCCGACCTGACCCGGATTATATGAGTGTTATTGGAGGGAGAAGTTGGGGAAATTGAATTTGAAACTCAACTCCTCACAATCCACAACTTCCATATACAAGTTTCACCACAAAAAGAAAAAATATGTATACACAAATTCGTATGAAAATCAAGAGAGAAAAATACATGTGGGTGGTGGCTTGTTTTTGAAGTATATCATCTCTAAATTGGTTTTTGGATTGTGGCTATCAAATTTCTTCCTTTGTGATCGAATTTTCGACCAAGAAGTGAGTACAAAGCAGTGTAGGAGATATAGTCATTCAAAAAGCAAGTGATTCAATCTCGTTTTGATGGTTTTAAGTAAGTTTTACAATTTGAATTTCCATTAAAAGCATGCAAGCATGTATTACATTGGTATCAGAGCCTTAGAAGGTTGTTTTCTTGCTTAAGTTCGTGCTAGAAATGGGAAGAAATGATTAAAAACACATGTATCTTGTTTTCTTCAAAAGCTTGAACATCGTTAATGGCAACTTTTGATATATTTCGTATAAATTCATGAAATTTGTACTGTATGTTCATGATATTAAGGAGAACATATTTGAAAAATTTCACTGTGTTTGGATTAGTATATTGGGAGAAAAATGGAACCCTAGTTGAGAAAATCGAAATTTCATCGCATGATAACTTCTTTCACGTTAAGTTCCACGCTGCCCATTTTATATGGTTGGATAGATCTTTTCAAGAGCTTTTCAACGGTATAAAGAACATAATTTTTGGCCTTAAATTGTAGTTATGGCCTATTGAAGTTTCGGGCAGTAATTTGAAGAAAAAATGGTTTTTTTTTTTTTTTTCAGAAACATAAACGGTGGTCCCTTAAATATATATATTCCAAATACAATTTCAAAAAAAAATTGCATGGTGGTCCCTACATTTTTTTAATGTTGATTATTCCAAATGCAATTTGAGAAATTGCATGTTGCATATTGATCCCAATATTATTTTTGGAAGTTGTTTATTCCAATACCAATTTGAAAAGTTGTACATATATATATATATATATAAGAGAATGGAGGATGGGTAATAGAAAATTCAAAATTGTACTANTTTTTTTTTTTTTTTTGCTCTCATTTTTCAAATGATAAATACTCCGAAAGTAATTAATATACTACATTTTCTATACATTCATAAGTGGTGTGAATCTTGATTAGATTATGTGATCCGTTGTGACTAATTTCCAATTCTCGTGATTGATCAGATATGGCTGGATCAATGCGGACTTTTAGCATCCTTAAAGGAAAAGCTAAACGAGTACGAGCTGTGAAACGTGTTGAAAAATTACGTGCTTATAGAAACTATGGAATGAATCTACGACATAACCTAATATAACACACAAAATATCTCGAAGCAATGCGTCGAAAAGTGAGACATTTGGGACAGCCTATATGTAAGGTGGAAAGTATGTATCATCTAATGGGGACGCTTCCTAAACATTGGCATGATGTTGCTATTGAAGTTTTGGATAATTTGTTACATCTGCGCTACAGTATTTGATCAGGATCTTAAGGAAATGGAATTCAAAAAAATGAGAATTTTATAATTAATTTAGATATGTATGGTTAGTTCAGATTGTGAAACAATATCTATGTGAATTTTTTGTTTTTCCATGTTTAGTAGTTGCTTAAAGATGCTTAATAGGATAGTATGTACATATTTAGCCCCTGTCTGGGAGGGATTGTGAAATTATGAGCATCAATTCTCAAGTCATTTTCATCAACAATGTCTCCATGTGGGGAAGACAAGAAATGCACCGAAATGCCATATTTGCCCTCAGTGCTTTCTCAAAACATGTTGATCATTCCACATTTGTTTTTAGTACCTTTAACCATGCGGGTCCCAGATGTGATCACCTTTGAAAATCAATTTTTTCAAAGTTTGTCTTGTACCGTGTTAAGCGAAATTCCCAATAAACTTTATTCACGTGAAGTTTGAAAATGCACAAGTTCTACTGTTCACAATTTTTCTAACACAACTTTGCATGATACGAACCGCATAGGCTCGACATGTCCATCACTTTTTTTCCCGGGTACAGTTCGTGTGACCAACATTCATGTAATTACAAATAAAAAATAAATTTCAATCTTGTTGTGCCAAGTAATCTCGGAACATATCCCACTTATTACGTTGGGTTTCCGGTGCATGCATTTTGGCTGCAACTTCGTCCCTTTCTTCCGAGAGCTCCACCTCTGCTACGTCGAGGTTCATCTCCGCTCTAGTAAATGCTTCATCGACAACGTCCGCTTGTCGAAGAAAGTTGTGAACTCCCTAGTAGCAATTACAACAGTTGTTTGCACTTTGAAATTATAACTCAGCATACGATCGAGTATTTTCCAACGACTTTACCACATGCCGAACGTACGTTCTATTACGTTCCCACACGACGAGTGGCGGAAATTATGCTTTTCTCATGCATTTCGAAAGTTTCACCTGGAACCGGTGACCCCGTCGTAAAATTGCTGAAAGTGGTACAGTATATCCGAACCCTTATACGGCGCCATGTACCCAGGTCGATACGCGAACCCCGAGTCAACAAAGTAATATTTTCCATGAGCCGGTTTCGGGGAAGTCTATGTTGGGATCGTGTATAGCCCTAGCCAATATTCTTACATCATGACAGTTCTCAGTTGTGCCAGCACGCACAAATGTGAAACACAAAATGAAATCACACGCGGCTAAGACAATCTGTGTTGGAATTCCTTAGAGTTCGATGAAACTCACTCGCTCATCCCGCGGGAGAACGGCTCTAACGTGTGTACCGTCAAAAGCACCTATGCAATCCCGAAATATGTAATGTTTGTTCAGATTCGGAACGTGATGCTCAGTACCATGATTGTAGTTTGGATCCGATTTTATTATCTGCCTCTAGAACTCGATCACCGCTGCAAGCACAAGTTTGAAGTAATGGCCTATCATTTCAAGTGAATGGTTGAACAGTGTTTGTACCTGTCTATACCCTTTTCCATGCGCTAAATTGCATAGAAACATACCAACTTGTTCGTAAATATCTATATAATGCTGACTACGTAGTCCGTACTGATCCCGAAGCAAGTGCGCGAATGATCGAAGATGAGCAGGATACATGCGGAACTCAATGTAGCACTGCTGAGGGCTATAGTTCATGGCATCCAACATGAATACATGACCGTTGCGCGCAAATGGATATCGGGAGACACGCCGTCGTTGTGCACGATAATAGTTACTTACAGTAACATCACGTATGTGACAATATTGAAACCACTCAATGATATCAATCTGTAGCTCTTCCATGAATGCCTCGTCATCTATTTCATCTTCGCCATCGGACGATGGCAGTAACGCACAGTTCATATCGAAATGTGCCATAACACCAATTATCAATAGGGCGTCAAAGACCATAGCCCATTCGAACTTCTCGTTCGCATCTTCTTGCATGTCCAATATCTCCCTGTTCTGCTTTTTGGAGAGGAAAGAGCAAGTCCAGAAGTACAAATTAGTTTTTTTTTTCAACCGACCCGTAGACAATAACTCCTTCAGGAGGGCCTTCGGGTCAGACACAACAAGTCCAATTAAGCGGTCAATTTTAGCAGCAACATTCTCACTGGCTGTGGTCGCACGGTCCATCGAGTACGATACGTCCCGAGCCGAAAGCTTCTTCTTCTTATCCTTCGCTCGATCTCTAACTGCCTTCCATTTATCTCCACTATGTGGGTCAGACACATCCATGCTGGCAATAGCTGGTTCGGTTTCTACGCCCTCGTCACTGGAGCCACTGCTCTCGACGTCGACCGGGATCTCATCACGATTATCTTCATGACCACTGTCTTCAAACATAGCAAATCCAATGCGACATAGCTTTGACGATGTCACGACGTACTTATCGCAATCGAAAACGTCCCCAAACAACGCCTTATATCGATACACCTCCTGACAATCTTTGTCCTTGAATTCTTTATAGTCTTTGTTTTCCTGCGATTGAAAAGACATAGTTGTAAATAATGATGCACGTACAATGGAAAGGGTGCAATGTTGAATATATAAATTTACAATGAAAAGCATACAATTACTCA